GGGCGGGCCGGGGCCGCCTCGCCCGCGGCGCGGGCCCGCGCCGGAGGGAGGGCGGGAGGCCGCGTCGGGAGGAGGCCGCGTCCCGGGCCGGGAGGAAGAGGAGGAGCCCGCGCCGCGCCCCCCAGCGCGCCGAGCCCGGCAGGAAGGCGGAGGATGTGCGGCGGCGCCGGGGGCCCGTGACAGCCGCGCCGCCCCCCCGCGCGGGAGCCATGTCCAAGATGCCGGCCAAGAAGAAGAGCTGCTTCCAGATCACGAGTGTCACCACGGCGCAGGTGGCCAGCAGCATCACTGAGGACACCGAGAGCCTGGATGACCCCGACGAGTCGCGCACCGAGGACGTGTCCTCCGAGGTCTTCGACGTGTCCCGTGCCAGTGACTACCTCCCCGAGGAGGCCTGCGAGCGCAGCTCCTCCGAGGAGACGCTCAACAATGTGGGCGAGGCCGAGACGCCCGGCAGCGTCTCCCCCAACCTGCTGCTGGACGGGCAGCTGGCGGCCGTGGTGCCCGCCCCGCTGCAGGCCCCCAACGGGGGGGCCGTGACCAAGAGCTCCACCGTGGGCGCCGGTGCTGGCCCGGCCCAGCCCGCCCTGCCCGCCGCAGGGGCCGGCGCCGCGGCCCAGACGGCGGCCGCTGCCTGCAGCTCACGCTTCAGGGTGATCAAGCTGGACCACGGCAGCGGGGAGCCTTACAGGAGAGGGCGATGGACGTGTGTGGAGTACTATGACCGGGACTCGGATGGCGGCGCGGTCCTGGGCAGGACTGGGGACTGCATTAGACACAGCAGCACCTTTGAGCAGGCTTCCCAAGACAGGGACAGTGGCCTTGGCGCCACGGGAGGCTCTGTCGTGGTGTCGGCCATGCCGGCGTCGGTGCATGGCCCCGATTCTATAGCTGACAGTTCACTTGCTGCTGTGTCGCAGCTGCTGCAGGGAGAGAAAATGAACCAGCCCTCTCTACAGCAACCTAGTTTTGTCATTGGGCAACAACAACAGCCACAACAGCCCCTAGGCGGGGCCATGCCTCAAAGTGCTGCTCAGCCTCTGTTTTCCACGACTCCGGTAGCAAATCAGCAAATGATGGTGCCGCCGCAGTCACAGCCGCAGGTGAATGCGCAGAGCGTGGGGCCGGCTGGGCCCAACGGGAAGAGCGTGGCACCGCTGGGCACAGCCATTGGCCAGCCCAGCCTGCCCACAGCCCCGCAGCAGGTGCAGCAAGGAGCCGCTCCCGTGACTCAGCCTCAGCAATTTGCTTATTCTCAGCCCCAAATTCCACCAGTGCATCTACTGCCGACGCAGCCTTCTGGTCAGACTGAGTACATGCAGCACGTGACGATTATGCAGCCTCCAGGAGCAATTCAACAAGCTGCTGCAGGCTCCATCCCAAGTACTGTGGCCCCCAGCCTCTCTGTGGGCCAGGTGACGGGGCAGAATCCCTCGCCTGTGGGAGCCCCCATGATGGGGGTGTCGGCACACACCGGCGAAGCCGTGGGGCAGGGATCAGGGGTGATGCAGGGCGGCCAGGCGCAGCCCAGCCCGGCCGCCCTTGCGCAGCCCGGAGGAGTGGTGCAGCAGGGCATCGCGCATGCAGGCGTTGTGCAGCAGAAACCTGTGACTCAGCATCAAATAGGTGGCAGCAGTCAGGTGTCCGGGATGCCTGGTGCTCCCCACGGCATGGTGTCTGGGGTGCAGAGTGTGCCTGTTGCCGTGCCTGGTACTAGTGTGCCTAGTGTGCCCACCACTTCTGTTACTATGCCAAATGTCCCCGCTGCTGCGGCGCCGTCGCAGCTGAGCGGCCACGTGAGCAGGAGCTCCGGCGCTGTCCCGCCGCAGCATGGGGGGCACTCGCTGCTGCAGGGTGCGCCCGGCGGAGCCGCCGTGCTGCCGCACTCGAGCCTCGGACAGTTCCAGACTCCAGCTCCATCCTTAGTGGGCCAGATCGACGATACCAGAAGAAAGTCRGAACCCCTACCTCAGCCACCGCTTGCTGTTATAGCTGAAAATAAGCCTCTTGTGAAGCCTCCTGCTCCAGACACTCTAACTAATCCTCTTCAGTTACCTACAAGTACTCCTATGAACAGTCTTGCCAGCTCTGTCTTTGGCATATCTATTCCTGTTGATGGTGATGAAGACAGGTATGAACTATTTCAAACTCTATTTCTGAAAGAACAAACAAAAGCTTTAGGTTATGGTCAGGTGTTTTTTAGTAGATCATATTTTTAAAAAGCCTCCTACCAAAATATCCCTGGGCTGCTGTGTGGGTTTCTGTTTGTTTATACATGTGCTTTTAAGAGTACAGAGCATGGAGAGTGCACAGGCGAGCACTGAACAGTACTGATTCTTCTCCATCTGAGTGTGTGGTAATCTTCCCCTGAAAACAGGGCAGAAGGTATCCAGAAAGCTGTAAGTAACCTCTTCCATGTGCAAACTGGCTGGAAGCTGGCTGTACTGCTACATACGCTCAGTACRCGAGGAAGCTGGTTGTTTCCTTTCCCCTGGACATGGGAATGACAGGCAGGCTAACACGGATTCATCAGTGCTGGTAGGTTGCAGTGTTGGTAGTGAAAATGCAGCCCTGCTTGAGGCTGTTGGGTGAAGTGCCTCAGAAAACGTACAGGTTTCTAACTCTGGTGCTTGATTTTTATCCTGCCATCAGACTTTTACTTTGAAATATCAATCAATAAGGAAAATACCTGCAACCTAGATGTGAATTTGAATGTGCAAATGAAACTACAGATGACAACCCTTTTGAATTGAGCAAGACTGTACTGCTTGCTCTGCCTACCTGGGGAAAATATGTAGAAAATGGAAAATATAGCCTCAAAAGAAATCTCCCGTATATAACAATATTATGGAACCATTTCTTTTAATAAGGGTTTCAGTAGGGAAAGACTCATCAGGTGGCCTGAGAGAGGGGACATATGTGGGGCTTCTTTTCCAGGCCTATGGCCTGCTCYGCAGGGTGGCAAGATGGCTAAAACTGCTCTTCATCCTCTCCTTTGAGGAAAGGCTTTCARAGAAAGTTATGTTTGAATGTTAAATTAGTGTTACAAAGTTTTGATTACTGGAAGAACAAAGTGCGTGTGGGTTAAACTAGCTCCTATTTTTAATAATACAAGTAACGCCATTATGAAAAAGCCTAACTTGCTGAATTTTCATATGATCCTTTTGTCACTCTGGGAGAATACCATACTCTAAGATAAGTCTGACTTGCTTAGGATGTCTTTTGGGAAACTTGCTGCATGTGTGGGGTTTAGGGTGCAGATGATGGAGGAAGTAACTCTAGTAGTCCTTAAAGACTTTCTTTTTTTTCTGTTTTTTAAAGGTCTCTGCTAATGCAGGGTTTGTGCTTGCTAAAGCTTTAACTAGCACTGTGTATGAGATAGTAACTCTGCTTATACCTTTATGTAAACAAAGCCCAAGTTGCAGACAGTTTTGCTAGCTCTGATTTAAAAATAGAGCAGTAAAGAACGTGAAAGAAAGTTATACTGTTAAAAATACTCCTGCACTTGTGCCTACCTTAAGAGGATTGCTGATCCATCTGGCAAACGTGTCTCAGTGCAAATAAGGCTTGACTTCAAACTAGGGACTTTTTTTTTTTTATCATAGCTTGTTATAGTTATCAGGAAATGTATTATTCATTTTTAAGTCATTCTGAGARCATACATTCCTTTTGCATAACTTATAGTACTTAATATTCCTATAAATCATAGTAACAGACATGATCATCTGTGACAAATGATTCGCTAGCTTTATGTAACAGCAAGGAAAAGCTTGTCCCACTTACTCAAACCTGCAAGTTGTTAACTTGCAACTCGTGTGGTAGTGAGGTAATCCTGGATGGTCTGCCTCTGAAGAACGACTTTCCCAAGTTACGATGGCAGTTTTGTCTTTGAACTAGACACCCTCGGTAACAATATTCTAACTTTTTTTATTTCCAATGAATTTTTTTTCAGAAACTTTGCTGTGAGAACCGTGTAAAAAATTAGGGATGGACTTTAAATGCAGGGTCCTGTTTTTCCTTGCCACATTAGGATATTAGGGAAGGTAGGTCGTGGTCCCAAGTGCGGGCTCCTCGGAGACGCTGGGCGCTGGCAGCGGTGAGTGCCACAGTGGAGCGGCACCGTGTGCCGCGAGAGCCCTTTCCTTGTCCTGCAGAGGCCCTGCTCCAAACAGATCCCGTGTGCTGGGGGGCCCTGCTGCTGGCACCCCTTGAGCAGGGCCGGGTTCAGCAGGCGGCTGTGCGGGCCTGCCCCGTACGCCCACGCTCCCGGCTCCCTCCTGCCTCGGCCGTCTCGCCTGCAATCAGGGCTGCTGGATCCAGGTGATTCCACAGGCTTTTTTCTTTTTTTTTTTTTTTTTTTTTTTAATGGAAAACACTATGTTATTAGAAAATCAGGACAACCTCTGCTTTCTTTTCGCAACTTTTTTTTTTTTTTTTTTTAATGGAAAACACTATGTTATTAGAAAATCAGGACAACCTCTGCTTTCTTTTCGCAACTCTGGTGCATAGTGCGACTGTCCTTGTAGCAGCTGCTGGGTTGGATTTGGCATCCTGCTTCTTAGCACAATTTCAAACAAAACTTAGGGGATTTACACAATTGTTCTTCCACACTAGCATGAAGTCCTGTGTAAATGATTCGGCCAGGCTTGGAACAGCTTGCTCTTTTGGTGCTGCTGATGAACAGTAATGGCTTGCCTTACATAGGTACTACAATATATGCACATGTTAAATCTCTTCATGCTTAGTAGTAGTAGCCTGACTTCTACTGATGAGAGAGAGGGAGAGAGAGAAGATAACCTAACATCTTGTTAAATGCTGYTTTACAGCTTTATTTGCTGTTACTTGTTGAAAAGGCTTTCGTTTAGCTCTTGCTTGTCTTCTGTTTTTCTTCTGCTTCTTTCTTTGCAGCTGTTCAAATTATACCACTACTCCCATGGAATTATTCTCAGCTGCTTAATCTACTGAAATCAGTGGTGAAATGGTTAACAAGGACTTTCAAGTATCATTCATAGGCACAGAGTTGACACTGATAAAACTAATAGGGCACAAAGGGAGCTCGCACATCATGAGTCACTGTCTCAGGCTGCTTCAGGCTGAGGAAGTTAACACTTCTCTGAGGAGAGGTACACTTTGATCACAGGAAAAGTTGTAGAAAACCTTGTCTGTCTCTTTTTGAATCTTAATGTGTAATATTCAAAATATACTGAAGAAGGAGTAGCCAGTTCGTGGGTGGATATTTATGCTTCTTCTGGTACTGCCCACTGTACTTAAGCATTTGTGCCTAATCGAGTTTGCCAAGACTTGACAAACTTGTGTAGATCATTCTCTTTTTAAAATAGTCAAGGAATGATSTATGGCTCTAAATATTCTGTATTTTTTTTTTGTGTATCACAGTTTTTTAATTTGAAGAGGAACTACTTTAAAGATAAAAAGGTTTAGGATGGGAATTCTTTGAAAGCAGACTGAGAGCTGCGCTGAATGTAAGCCAGAGATTTCTCATATTAAAATTCTGTTCTCATCTAGTCTAGGGAGGAGGGAACTTATTTGTATTATTCCAATCATACAGACTGCTATTTTAGATCAGCCTACATCTGAAATAGCTGTGTCTGGAGTTMTAAGGCTATAGCCTGTTACAGACACTGGGTTTGTTTGCCCAAGACATTGCCCAATAACCTTCAATTTCCTATCCTGTTAGTTGAGAGAACTCTTACAGTAGCCTAAATGAAACTGCTGTACTACTAGTGCTGATCTGATGAATAATGAAGAATCGGTTAGTCTSAAAGTTTTATACTGGGGGCAGAGGGGACGTAGGGACTCCAGAGAAATAGAGAAGCTTTTGGCATGTCTCAACTTTTTTTATATTCTTCAGAGAAAAATAGACTTCTTCAGCTTAAGCATCTAAATTACTAAGTTCTTAAATATGTCTTGCACAAGTTCTAGGTATATCTACAGCATAACAAATAGTTTTATTTCCTCTTCCTCTCCAAATGTGGCTATGAACAGAATAAATTGCAACAGTATTGCAAGTGGAGGAAATGGTATTCTTGCAGAGGTAGGAGGGAGCATTGCAATCCGCTCTGAATTTCATTGCATCTGACAAATTCAGTGAAAGCAGGTGTGTAGGATTGGATTTGAGAATGACCCTGACTGKTGATTCACTGCTCTCTTACAGCAGTGGGTATTTTGGGGGGTGAAGTCAGAATACCCAAGAGATGATCTCAAGATCAATGCGTCGCTTCTCCATTCACCTTCACCCCTATATATACAGAAATACGTAGCTGTCAAGTGCAGTAATTAACTTTATACTTTTTTTTGGATCTGGGGGGATTTGGATTGGGGTTGGGAGGGAATCATAGAAGATTGTTCCTGAGAAGGCTTGTTCAAGTATCCTGCATGTTTGGCAAGCTGTGGGGGCARAATATTACCAGATGTGTTGGGAAAGGGGCACAGATTATATTCCGGAGATCAGTGAGCAGCCTGAAGAGCGCGGGCCTTGTTGTGGGAGCGCTGCTGCACGCCCACAATGGAGCGGGCAGACCCTTGAGCACCTGGCTGTGAGCACTTCCCCTCGCATGCATCTCCCCTATCTGTGTGCTATCCTGCGGGTTGCTGGTGGGGTGTAGTTAGCAAGGCCGAGATTTTGGGATTCTCTTAATATAATAACAAAACTGGGTGTAGGCATTAATATTATTTTGATAAGAGCTCTTTATCCTCAGGATGCATATTTTGTATCCCTAAAAAATGAGAGTTGTGCAAATATGTGCAAGTAAGCAGTACTTGAATTGCACTATCAGTTAATCCTGTCCCTTTTTTTCTGCTTTATTCTAAAGCTTGTTAAACTGTCAGCTCTCATGGTTGCAGAGCTGCAGATTTTCCGCTCTCAGAAGTGAAGGGTGCTGTTTAAGTGATTGTAGAGGCAAGAGAGAATGAAATAYAGGCAGACTCCTCAAATCCTGCAGCCTTTAGTTTGATTAATGTTACTATTTTTGTCCAGAAGTACACTTGAAAAAGAGTTGAGATAGAACTTTAGGTGAACATTGCATCCAGTAATAGCAAGTGAAATTTAGTGCAGACAAAAACTTTATTTAGTTTTACTCAGGTTTTGCTATACTTCCTAAAATAAAAATTGCA